TGGCTGGACTGGGGGAGGGTCAGAGCCTGGGCAGCAGGTTTAGGTATACAGGGCCATGGCTTTAACTTGGAGGGGAGTGGTGGCAGAGCAGCTGGGCCATGGTGGCAGGGTAGAGCTGCAGGTTGGTGTGTGCAGCTGGTGGCAGGAGGAGGTGAGGGCAGCTCATCCCCACCCTTCCCTGGTCCATTACACCTTGCGCCGCTGGCAGCACGGTGTTACTCCATGGTGGTGTAGCTGGCATGGGGGTACCTGCGGCACTGGTGATGGCAGCAGCAGCAAGTCTTGCTGCCCCACTCCGCCCTCCTGCACCAGGTCCTGCCCGCTGGGCCTCAGAAGCAGTCCAGTGCTGGTCCGGTCAGGCTGCAGCCCCATGCCCCGCTGTGGGCACACGAATCTGGGGGGCATGTGCCCCCCTATGTCCTCCTAATGCGTCACCTATGGTATCTGACCCTTCCCCTATGTGTGCATACACGCATGTGGCATCCCCTGCATCTAATCAGCCTCCTCCCGCTCCCCCCAGCCCCAAGCAGCCCTTGCAGGCTGGAGCTCTGCCAGCTTGTAAGGGGAAACCTGTGGTTTCCCACATTTTTCCTCAACAAACGGAAAACCTGGATCCCTTGCACCAGTCATTGTATTGTATAAATTATCTAAAAGGGTGAAGCTTTCTCTTTTCTCTTTTCATCTATTTCTGATCACATACTTGAGATGCAAATCAAATGTCTAGTTAACATAATTAGTTGTAGGCTCTCTTTTCGAGTGATGCTGCGGTGCAGAATTAATAAGAAGTAGTAGTTTACATTAAAAATATTACATTTCATTTCACATCAAATATACTTCATTAGCACTCTGAAGAGGAGAAGACTGAAAAGTAGCTGTTGCTCGGGATTGCTGTAATATAACTGCTTTGGATAATGTTCCATCATAAAATTACAGAAACTCAGTATTTATAAGCATTGATGTCTGGGTAAGTATTGTGATATCAGCTAGACAAAGGGTCACTGGCATGTCCACATATTTTTTTCAAAATGAGGTCTGAATAAGCTTTGGATAATTGAGATCTGTATGTTGAAGTTTTCTGCAGCATTAGCATATACAAAATCAACAGCAGGCACGAATGAAAATAATTAGTGCATGGACAATAGGAAAGTTTGTTTTGCTGTTGGTAAAAGGCTTGGCACAAAGTGGCATGCGGAGGTGTTTTCTGTCTGCGCTGTTTCTTTCTTCAGTGTCCTGAGGGTCCTAATATTGTGAAGTTTTAGTTTGCAGCAGTACAGAGATATTCTTTATTATGTGAAGTCCCGTAAAGCCATTTTAGCTCTGGGTCCTTTTATGCTGCTGTGATATAATTAAGCAGCAAGGAGCACATATAAAGAGGAATATGTATAAAAGTCCAAGTACAGTCTGGAGCATTATGTATAATGAGAGAACTGGGGAGTTATGGTGGGAAAATGTTGTGGATCTGATTTTTATTAAAGTTGCTCCCATTGTCTCAGTATTCTGGCAGTGATCAATCACAGAGGGATTTGGGGCATCTTTAATTTTAGAAATATAAGCGGTGGAGATTTCCATGTTACAACATCAATTTTTGTATTTATCTTGTAAAACTAATTAAAATAATGACACTAGAGCTGTCTGTATATCTTTTTGTATTCTGTAAATTATTGTTGCCATTGAATCACCAGAAGTTTTTCACGTATAATACAACTGAAAGCTTTTTTACAGGGTGACAGTAATGTGTCTATGCTTTATACTTGAGGTAAGCTAGCCTTGTAAATCTTCTTGTAACCCTTGGCCCGCATTTAAAATACAGTAAAGAGTGCTTCCTCTGAACTAACCTGTATAGTATGAATTTAATAATAACAACTTTGTGGTGCTGGATTTTCTACAAATATCTGTTAGTCCATGATTTATAGCATAGTATATATTGTATCTATGGGTGCATGAAGAAATACACGTTTTGGGGAATCTCTTTTTCTCCTATTATCATTGCTTAAATTATGAGAAATTTGGCTTCTGTCAAAATGTCAGATATTTTTCTGT